CCTTCAGAGGATGATGTGATAAGAATAGGAGGTAGGAATTGGCTAGGCAGTTAGGGTAAAAAGACCCCAAAGAAATGTAGCCAGTTTCTTGGTTAAAAGTCAAAATGTCCTTGGGCTTGTTAGCAACATACTCTGTTCCAAAGGCTAAAAATGTCAAAAGTTTTTGGGAGCTTGTATCTAATCCTTAAAAGATTTTAGGGTTACCTCTGAGATATGGGAGGTGTTGGAGGGGAGGGAGTGGGCATGGATTTGACCAAAATAACTTATATGCATGTATAAAATTGTCAATAAAGTTTTTTTAAAACTTAAAAAAAGTTATATTTATGTGCTATTCTATGAATATATTAAAATTTTAGTGTTGATCTCTGGAAATGGTGTGTAATGACATCCAAGAGTCTATTTAAAGAATCCTGTTTCTTTAATTCTTTTCATGTACATTTTGACTAGAATGCATTGAATTAATTTTAAAACAATTTTAAACCTACATATAAATTGATGTTGTTTTAACAAATAAAGCATATGTTTAATGTTGTAACATAAAAAAAAAGCAGAGTCTTACTGGGAAGTCAGCCTAGACTCCATTAACCTCAGCATGTTGTAAAATTATATGATGTATCTAAAATTCTGTCTCAAAGTATGACCTTCTGAAGCCCACATCAGAAATATCTATACAAGGTATAAAGCTCCGGGTCCCACCGCAGCCCTGCAGAAACTGAATCTAGTGACCTCAGAATCTGCAGTCTGAAGAAACTTCCTAGATAACTTGAAGTACACTACATAAACTCTGAGAAACAGTAAGACGTCTAAATAAAAAGTGTCCTGAGAATCACTTGCTCACACTAGTGGCATTTTCAACTTGGAATGGAAATTTGTCTGTGATTTTTTTTTTCTTTTTGAGACAGGGTCTCCCTGCAGCCCCAGCTGTCCTGGAACTCACTATGTAGACCAGGCTGGCCTTGAACTCACAGAGATTCACCTGCCTCTGCCTCTGCTGGGATTAAAGATATGCACCACCATACCCCAAAGCTGTGATTTTTTTTTTAACAACCTCCCCCTCCCCCAAGGAGCAGGGCATCCCATATCAAAGAGAAGAGACTCAATGACAGATCTTACCATAGAGGTCATGAGCCTCCAAAAGATCTGAGACCAGACCCACTTCCAGATATGCAGCCACCACATGGAGATTGGTGAGGAAGTTTGCAAGGATGCCACGGTTTCCACTCTGGAGCTGGGGAGGGCAGATTGGATTTGTTAGGGATGTGAAGAGGCTGGTGAGGAGGAATAGACTAGTCTCAGATCCTGCCTATGCAGCCAGGACCTACACCCAGGATCTGAGATAAAGGGCTGGAGACAGGAGAGTAGGAAAACTCAATGAAGGTAGAGGGAGTCTGTGAGGAGGTTAATGACAATGGTGATGTTGGTGAGAAAGGAAAAGGGGTCTAAGAAAAGCCAAAGCAGATGCATGGACTAAGGTGTCCGTCTGTAGGGTCTGGGGACTAACCAGGTGGTAAGGTAAATCTTTCAGAGCCTCGGGAGGACAACTGTGGAAGGTGCCTGAGGCATCGGGATCACATGTCTTCCAGAGGTGAGCTGTAAGAATAGACATTGAGCAGGGTTGACCCTAGAGTGTCCCCGGGCTACAGCAGAGTCATCTACCCAGGCCAGCAGATGGAGAGGACCATGCATGGTCCTGAGCTCCAGGTCCAGGCTGCATAGCTTCTTACTGAGTGTCCATGCTCATCTGGGCTGCAATCACCTGCAAGGAGGACGTGTGCTGTCTTCTCTAGTTCTGGCCTTTTCCCATAGCGACGTTTAGCTGCTGTCCTCAGAGGCCCATCAGGGAGACACAGACGGGCACCAGGACGTTCCACAGGGCCCTCCCCTAGTAAACTGCCCTCAAGAGGAGAGGAGGGAGGTAAGGAAGGAGAAAGCAAAGTCATTCAGTGAACATGCTGGTATGGCAATGGGCTGCCATTCCCACTGCAGAGTGGTAACCAGAGAAGGAGCATTCGGGACCCGAGAGGCCAGTGCTGGAGCTGTATACAGAGGGAAAAATAAAGAAACACAGGTGCACAAACTGGGAAGGCAGTTGAGGCCAGTGGGAGCTCAGCCGGGGGATCTTTACCTGCGTAGACTCTGGACAAGGTAGAAAAATGGGCCCATGGGGTAAGGGCCTGCACTATGATCAGCAGTAACTGCTTCGTCCCAGCTCTTAGTCCCTTTGGGCAGAATCTGCCACATACTCAGCACTGCATACATCTGGTCCACAGTCAGACCTGAAAACCGCATTCAAACCAAATCACGTAGTGAACCCATTTCCATCACACCCAATTCCCCCTGGCACTGCTGGCTGAGATTCCAGCTGAACTAAGGTTACCCAGCTGCTGAGCCCTCAGCCTCCCATCCTTCCCCTACACTGACCACTACGTGTGATCAAAAGGGTGGCCAAAGCTTGTGGAAGGACATCAGGGCCATGCTCCTGCTCTAAGGTGCTCAGGATGTGCTGCAGCAGCAGGGGGAGAGTGGGAGGCAAGGATCGAAGTCTCTCAGACACCTGTGAGTGGAAGAAGACGACTTTGTCGATGACGGAGGAGGAGAGGTGGCTTTGGTAGTATGGTAGGGGGCTGAGCAGCAAGAATCACAGGGAAGGAAAAACAGGAGGGAACAGGAGAGAGGCCAGAAGGGAAATGGGTGACTAGAGGCAGCCAAAGAGGAAAGACTAGTGTGATGGCTAATGTTAACTGTCAACTTGACAGAGTCTAGAATCACTGGGAACACTGATCCCTGGGCATGTCTGTGGGAAATCATCTTGACTGTGTTAATTGAGGTGGGAAGACCACATATTATGGGTGGCACAAATCCCTGGTACTATACTGGACTATAAGAGTGGAGAAAGGGAGCTGAGTAACAGCACGCATTTATCCCCCTCTGCACCCTGAATTTAGATGCAATGTAACCAACTGCCCCAAGCTCCTCCTGACTCTCTCACCATCTTGGAAAGTAACCCCAAATAAACCCTTTCTCCCTCAAGTGGCTTTTGTCAGAGTATTTTATCACAGCAGCAGGAAATGAAATGAAGAAAATAAATGGTACCAGAGGTGGGGTTACTCCTGTGACAAACTAAGTGGTTCTAACTTTGACTGGTTTGAGGGAGGACTGTGGAAGAATTTGGAACTTCAGGCTAGAAGAGCCTTTGAATGCTATAAACAAAGCTAGATGGAAGAGTTTGGAATTTGGGGTTAGAAAAGCCCTTGAATATTGCAAACAGAGCTTAACAGGCTATTCTGGTGGGCACTCTGAAGACAGGAAAGGTGAGAGAAATGCAGGCAGTGAAGGCCAAGCCTGTGGGGTTTCAGAGAATACCCTCTCAGGAACTGGGACAGGGCACATTCATTCATATGATGTTTTGGTCAAGAATCTGGTTTTATCCTGCTCATATCCTGAGAACTTGAGATGGAAAGACCCACCCACTGTGAGTGGCACTATTCTCTGGGCTGAGGTCCTGGACTAATTAAAAGGAAAAAGCAAGCTGTGTACAAGCACACACTCTGTTTCCAGACTACAGGTGCCATGTGACCGGCTGCCCCATGGCATGATGGGCTATAATCTCGAACTGTGAGCCAAAGGCAACCTTTCCTTCCTAAGCTGCTTTTGACAGGGTATTTTATCACAGCAACAAAGAATACAGATAGGGATGAAGAACAGAGCCCAAGAAGCAGAATAGTGAATGGAAAATAGGTTAATAACCAACCTGTTCAAAGAGTGTGAAGAGCCTCAGGTGATCAGTAACAAGATGCAGGTAAAGGGGCAGGCTTGACCCCTGCTTTACCAGCAGCAGCCGCATCTGATGAGAATTGGAAGATCAGCATGGGGACTATGGAGCCCACCATAGCCTATCTCTGCCACAGAAAGCCAGCTGGCTCCTCCTCTGAGAGTCCCATCAGGAGATGTGTTCATGACATCACCCCAAAACACACCACCCTCCTATTTCCCAGTCAGTTCCTGTCAGAAACACTTCCACAGCTCAGCTTAGCCCATGTTAACCACAGCTCATGCCCCCCTAGGGGGACTGTTTGCCATGGAAAAGTCTGGGTGATCTTATGAGAAATCTCAGTTAACTTATAAACAACTTCCCTTGGCAGACAGGTCTTGAGAAAACAAAGGATTAGTCCATGGGGGTGGGGAGGGCAATCTGGTTGGCCTCAGGAGCTGCACTCATGGCTTCATAACCACCCCACATCCCAACTAGTCCTCGTCTGGGTCCAACCTGGTTGTTAAAGGGTGACTCCTCCAGCCGTTTCCCATACAGTGCTAGCTCTTCTCTCACGAGCCGAGCCCGAGCAGAAGGGTCCAGAGGCCCCAGGGCCACCACATGGGCACCCTGGCTTTGCTCAAGGGTCTCTCCCAGGCTTGAGTCACTAGAAACACTCAGCACTAAGTGTACTCGCTGTGACATTGGCAGAAAGAAACAAATGTAGAGAAAAAAGGCAGCAACATTCAGGAGGCCCCTCTCCCCTCCAACCTCCTGGTATCCATCTCTCCAACCTGTCTCCCACCTTAGCTCCTCCTCATACTCACCCGGGGAAGGGACTTGGGGATCCAGTCGGAAATCAGCTGCCCATTCTGATCCACCAACCTATCTGCCCCATCAATAATAAGAACCAAGGTCTGGCCACGTTGTAAAGACTGAGCACACTTGGGCAATAGCCTCTGGTGCAGCTCCCACACCAGGCCTCTGTGTGGAGGGGAGGTCAGGGTCAGTGGTGGGGAGGTGGGGAGAGCAACAAGGCTGGCTAACTGCAGGCACACACCTGTAAGTGCTGGGGAGGGTACTCTGCTCTCGCAGTGTTCTATGCAGATGGGTACAGAGGCGTCTGAGAAGGTTGAGAGCAAGACCCTGGTCAGGGTGTGCTGCTACAAAGTGGAAGAAAACTAAGGGGGGCCCTTTGGGCTGATCAGGAACCCGCAGGGCTGACACAAGGGATGCCTGGATGGGGCAGGAACAAAAACAGGTTCACATTTTGCATTTTGTAGATGTGATACACAACCTTCCTGCCCCACCTCCTTAGCCCAAAGCCCTCTCTCCTGCCTAGGCCCCTGAGACTCATACCAGGAAGGCAGTCTTTCCCTGTCCTGCCTGCCCAGTCACTAGGCTCAGCCTTCCATGGGGCAACATCAGCTTCTGCACTGTGTCCTGAAGAAGGCGTGGCCGGGCAGGACTTGGTGGGTTCTTCAGCTGTTGAAAGGTGGCCTGGATCAAGTCATCATTTGAGGTGGATGGTGGTTTCTCCAGCTCGGCCCCAGGCTGAGGTGACACAGGGCATGGACCATCTATGTTTTCATGTTCCCCAGGACATTCAGGCCTCAAATGTAAGCTTCACCAGCTCGCTTCCCTCCCAGACCACACTGTTCCCCTCAGTACTCCTGCTGACCTGCAGGTAAAACTTCTGGATCATGTTCCACACATCCTGAAGAACCAACTGCCCAAACTCCTCCAGCCCTTCGACATAAGGCCGGCCACCTGCCACACCTCCCCACTCACAGGAGTACCTCCAGACAAAGCAAGCACAAGCAGTCAGAGTGGCCCGGCTGGCCTCAGCCCGCCTTGCCGCACAGGAGCTCTCCACCTCCCTCAGCTCACCTGCGACAGGTAACTTCTCTCTGTCTGCTCAGGTAGTTCTTCAGTTCTGAGATCCGATGTGCAGCTGCTTTTGACTCAGAAATAAAGTCAGGTCTCCAGGCATCTGGCACAGAGCTGACCACCAAAGATACCCCAAGAATGGGGCCAGACTTAGACTCTAGCCTCCAGCCTCCTGGTACCCGTCGGGAGCTAAGGCTGGGATTCCTTGAAACTCCTCACTCAGGTGGAGACCTGATTTGGGGCTGCAAAAGCATGCTCTCTGAGTCCTGTTTCTCTCTTTCTGCACTGAATGTTGGGGACAGAAGACTGAACCTGCCTGGCCTTCCGGGAAGGAAGACTGCCCTGGTAGCAACAGAAGGTACCTGAGGAACCCAGAATCTCGGAAGTAGATGAGAGCTTGGGCAGAAGGCTGCAAACGTTGGTCCTGATTCAGGAATTGCATCACCTCCATCTCTGTCACAGAGCGCCCTGATGGGTACTGCTGGGCCTGCAAGGAGAGGACAGACACAGGTGGGTTCAGTTCCAAATCATAACAATCTACCCCTAGAGCCCTTCAAAGGCCCCAGGTCCCCCTTATCTCAGTAACTTTCCTCCCTCTCTCCAGACACAAGTTACCAGTTAACATTTATTGAATGATTGACAGGTACTGAGCATATTAAAATACATTTTCCCCATCAGTGTTAGGGATTGAACTCAGGGCCTTACATATGCCAGGCAAGTACTCTACCACTAAGCTACATTCCCAGGCCTTTGTATTCTATTCTGGGACAATCTCACTTAGTTGTCCAGGCTGACCTAGAACTCCTGATCATCCTGCCCAACCCCCTAAGTAGCTGTATTACAGGTGTGTATGGCCACATCCAGCTAAATAAAATTTTAATTCTCATAGTAACCTTAGAAATACGGACATTGTTTCTATTTAATATGTGTTGAAACTGAGGCTAGTTTAGACTAAGCTGCTTCCAACAAAGTCACACATCCTGAAAATGTCCAAAAAGAAAAAAAGAACCAGATCTGTCTGATGGCAAAAGAGAAGCAGACCCACCTCCATCCCTCTCACATCCCTGCTCAATGCCAGAGACACTCTTCACAGTAACCGCCTCACCTAGGCCGTGGCCTTGCAGCGTCTTCTGCCTGTTTTCACTTCGAAGACCTGACTGTGCATCATCCCGTGTTCCTGAAAACTGGCTTTTCCCCATTCCGGTTTCCTCCCCAGCATCTCCAACCTTATCTGCCTTACCCAGCGGAAGTGAGGATGGTCAGGCAGGTCATAGCTGGGAGGAGTGTATCCATAGCGGGAGCCCAGAATCCCTACAAAGAGCTGCGAGTTCTCCACCTCCCCGAGGCACACTTCCAGTTGTCTGCAGGCATGATTAGGGGACATGCAGGAGTCACTGGACACAGTTTCAGGGCATACAGACACAAATACAGAGACAGGGTACTGGCTCACACTAAGCAAACTTGAGACACAATGCTCCTGTTGGCATCCAAGAGGCCACCCTGCCTGCACCCTCATCTGTCCTTGCAGTCCCAACCCTGCCCACCCGAGTTCTGTCACTCAAGCCCGTCATGCACGACCCAGCCCCTCTTCCCTGTGGCCCTATACCTGTTCCTTCGGGTTTCCTCCTCAGTGATGCCCCAGCGCAGGTCAATGGCATGCAGACTGATGTGGTGCGGGGCCAGTCGGGCCTGCAGTGCGGGTAGCACAGACCTCAGCATCAGGTCCCGCTCCCCGTGCATGTCCCGGAAAGTGGATGAAATGAAAAGCCGGATGCTGCGCCATCTGCCGGTAAGTAGAGGGTTGGGATCAGCCTCCCTCAAGTCCATAGCCTCTAGGGTAATTATGGCACACTGGACACAAACCCGTATAACAGACAGCAGAAGGGTGTCTTGCAGGCCCCAGAGAATAACCTATTTGTGGTCCCAACTACAGACGTGTAGTGCGTGAGTTCCACTTGCCTTTCTCTTGCGGGCCTTGTTCTACAGTAAATCATTACTATACATTTAGTATTTGCTCATCACAATACTACAATGAGGTAAATACTATGATTATCATTAACTATGCTTTTTAAAATGTTATTTATTATTTTATGGGTGTGAGTGTATTGCCTGCATTCATGTGAGTGTACCTGTGTCATGCAATGACTGAGGAAGTCAGAAGAGGACACTGGATCCCCTGAAACTGGAGTTACAGATGGTTCTTAGCTGCCATGTGGGTGCTGGGAACTGAAACAATGACCTCTGCAAGAGCAGACAGTGCTCTTAACTGCTGGGCCATCTTTCCAGTCCCCACTAACTACATTTTTAAGAAATACCACAACTCGGCCAGGCATGGTGATGCATACTTCTAACCCTAGCACTTGGAAAGTAGAGACTGGTGGATCTCTATGAGTTCAAGACCAATCTAGTCTACAAAGTGAGTTGGAGGAAAGTCAGGGCTACACAGTGATGCCCTGTCTCAAAAAAGAAAAATTAAACAACTAGCCCGAGATTCAAACTAGCACTTAGCAAAGCCAGTATAACAAAGCCAGAGTCTGTGCTCTGGCTATATGGCCATGGAGCCTGATGACCTCCCCACAATCAAACCTCCTTTCCCTAGGAAAGAAAGGAACAGGTTCACAAGCTGAACTTGTTTCAGGAAGCCCCTGTCTGGGAAGGGGGAGGCATCCCTCTGAAGACAGAATAAGTGCCATCTTAACAGACAGAATGACAGTCATAGAATTCCTCCAAGTTAGAACAGCAGCTCTCCCAGTTCACAAAGGCACAGAATTCAGACTGACCCATGTTGGGGAGTAGAAGCCAAAGGGTCTGGAGTATCTTCTTCCAGTGGCTGGAGAGTCAGGACCTGTGTCTTTCCTGGGAGTGGGGGAATCTTGAATACTTTGTCCAGTTGGCCCACATGATCCAGAAGTCGGGAGGCCCCATGCTCTGCAATGAACCTAACATAAAAAGCACAATGAGAACAGACTATTAGAGGTCAGCATTGGGAAGGTCTTCCAAGAGCAATGGGGAACAATGATATGTCCAGGTTAGGCTGCCCAGTTAAGAAGACGCCATAAGGCCAGGCCTGAGGGCTCAGGCCTGCAATTCTCACCCTCAGGTTGGAGGATCATGGGTTAAGGTCAGCCTGGACTATATAATGAGACCCTTTCTCAAAAACCAAACAAACAAACAAAGCTATGAGTGCAGATTTAAAATCAACTGAGACATGAAGGAAAAGAGGGCCAGGCCCAACCCCTCCCACTGTGCACAGTAACTTAAGATTTATTAGACCAGAGCAAATTGGACTGAGCTAAAGAGTAAAGGCTAAGACAATCCCTTTCTTGGGTGGATCAACTCTACCAACTACAAAAGCTCCCTCAGTAAAGGCATTTGCTTGAAGCCTCCCAGGAGGAAAAGGGCATGGATGGCATCCAAAGGACAATTCTGGGAAGAAAACAGGGAGAAGGCCATAGTGGAGTGAGACAAAGTAAAGACTTCTGAATTAGCACAAACACATGGGTTTTCTCTGGATATACAACTAAACACAATGGACCCTCTCAGACAGAGAGAGGGAGAGAGAGTGGACAGAGAAAGAAAGAGAGAGACAGAGACACATGTAGACGGGGGGGGCGGTGGAGAGAAAGAGAGAACTGAAGAGAAGCCAGTGACGTCACTCTCATTTCCTTAAAAGCAATTATGCAATCTCCCCTACCTCTTTTCTTTTTTAGTCTTTTTGAGACAGGGTCTCCCTGTAGCCGCATCTGTCCTGGAACTCACTATGTAAGTTTATATAGGAACAACTATTCACAAAGACTAAGAAGGGATGTATAGGTTGTAACTTAAAGAAAAAGTAGAGAGATAGCTTATAGCTTATAAAAGATTTAAGAAACAGTCATATGAGTGGCACATGGTGGCACATGCCTTTAATCCCAGCACTAGGGAGGCACAGGCAGGCAGATCTCTTTGAGTGTGAGGCCAGTGATTTCTGTGAGTTCAAGGCCAGCCTGGTCTACACAGTAAGTTCCAGGCCAGTTGGGACTACAGGGAGATCCTGTCTCAAAAAGACCAAAAAAAAAAAACCCCAAAAAAACAAACTTTATGTGTTTGTATGTGTGTCTGTGGAGGGGTGTGTGTATGTTTGTGTGTGTGTGTGTGCTTGTGTGTGCACACACACACACATCTGAGTGCAGGGCCCAAGAAACAGAGACACTGGATCCCCTGGAGCTACTTACAGCTGTGAGCCACCTGGCATGGGTGCTAAGACCTGAACTGAACTCTGTAAGAGAAGTGTGTGCTCTTAGTCACTATGCCATCTCTCCAGCCCTTTCTTCTTTCTTACTGAATATAATCAAACATTGATGGATGCAAGACAGAGCTGAAGCAGCCATCTTTAGCCTCGAGGTAGGAGCTGTTGAGGGTGGTGGAAGAATACGATAGTAAAGGCCCGAGTCCTTACAACACCATGTTGCTGCTAAGCCTGGATATCTATAAAAGAAAATAAACTATCTTGCTTAGAAAATAAGTGAATGAGTTAGCAGGTAGAGAACCTCTTCAGGGCATTCTAACACAGCATCCAACCCCTCCAACACCCACACTGTACTCACTTCAGTATTCCATCAGTACAGCCTGAGAGCGTCACATCATTGGGATTCAAATTCGGTAATCTGGCAAAGGAAGAAACAGTCACTAGGGGCTGGAGAGATGTCTCAGCAGTTAAGAACGCCGGTTGTTCTTGCAGAAGACTGGGGTTCAAGTCCCAGCATCCACATGGCAGCTAACAATTGTCCATAACTCCAGTCCCGGGGATCCGACAGTCTCTTCTGACCTCCGCGGGCATTGCACGACATGGGTGCACTTACCTACATGCAGGTAATACATGCATACACATAAAATAAAAATAACAAATACAATTAAAAAAAAAAAAAAGAAACAGTCCTTAAGCATCAGAAGCAATGCCTGGAGCCAGGTGTGGTGGCTCATACCTGTAATCTCAAAATTTGCCCTGTGACGTCAGGAAGATCTCAAATTCTAGGCCAGCCTGGACTATATAGCTACCTCCCAATACCACCTCTGCATTTTTATAGAGTTATGTGGCTGGGGTATAGCTCAGTGGGAGGGTGCTTGCCTAGTACGAGCAAGACCATGCGTCCAATTTGCAGCACACCACAAAGGGGTAAAAAGACTTCAAAGAAGATTCTAGAACCTGAAGTCCAACAGAATTAATAAAGAAAGAAGGCAAGAGATAACAAGTACCAAACAAATGAGAGCTTTCCACATTTTGGAAGGAACAGATAGGAAATATCTGCAAGGAGAACAAGCATCCTTACATGTACTGCGATTTTCGTAGAAGAATACCAACAAACAAACACTTGGAATTCACATGCTGCCAGAAAATCTGTTTGGCTACATTTATCTGTATGCTATCCATTCTCTCGCCAAACAAGATGACCCTGTCGACCTGTAGGATGAAAAGAAGAGGATGAGACCAGGGAACAAAGGACAGACTAGACATTGATGAGCTCAAAGCATCAAGAAAAGAGATTTCTAGAGCTGAGGGGTTAGGAGAACTCTGAAGGGAAAGGAGTATATCTCCTAAAAATACTTAGAAGGGGGGAGGCCACTGTATCCTGACTGACCCTGAGACACGGTCTCCCTATACCTCTGACTAGTCAGGACCTCACCATGTAGACCAGGCTGGCCTCAGTCTCACAGATACCTACCTGCCTTTGCCTCCCAAATGCACGGATTCAAGGAATGCACCACCATACCTGGTTTTTTATTTGTTTGGTTGGTTGGTATTTTTGTTGTTGTTTGAGACAGGGTTCTCCTGTCACCATGGCCATTTTAAGCATCAAATTACATAAACTTAAATAAATTAAGGGCTTATGGGTGTAGTCCAAAGGTAAAGCATTTTCCTAGTATGCACCAAAACCCTACTGCAACTCTCAGAAATATATTTTTTAAATTTTATTTATTAATTTTTTAAAAAAATATTTTATTTATTATTTTTATTTTATGTGTATGCATGTATTGCTTGCGTTTAGGTAAGTGCACCCATATCATGCAATGCCTGCAGAGATCGGAGGAGGGCATCGGATCCCCTGTAACTGGTGTTATGGACAGTTGTTAGCCACCCTGTGAGTTCTGGGAATCGAACCCAGGTCCTCTGCAAGAGCAGCCAGTGCTCTTAACCTCTGAGCCATCTCCCCAGTCCCATTAAACTGAC